CAATACTAGCCAAGTGTTTATTATTGTAGCTAGCTAAATGATTCAAATGTTAATTTGTCTAGCCATCACTTGGGAGTATTTTTTGCTCACCATCTTATTTATCACCGTTAGATGAGTTTAACTTTCGAGGTTTGTCTAGTGGATATATATACAAACCTTAAAATTTAAATTTCATCCAACCGTGATATATAGTACGATGAGCATTACCACCACTTGAGGGTGGTAAGTAAAAATGCATCAGCCACGACTTCCAACAATACTAGATATGTTAGGTTAAGTTAAAATATTTTAGTATTATTTTTTATAAACTTAACAAGTGGTCATTTACCACACTGGTATAAAGGTTTGAGTCATTATATGACGGTGCGGGTTCAAACCTCGTCGGTGACTAATTTTCGCTTGATAGAAAAAAAAAAAAAAAAACCCAAACCTTTTTTCTTCTCTTGTGAAGTCCACAAATAATGCAATTTTATAACTAGATTTACATGTTGAATCTTGATTTTTCTGCATTTTGTTGTTAAAGTATCCAAAATCTCATTTAGTTAGGTTGTTGGAAGTGAGCTTATCCACTATTAATTTTCTGATTTTGCCCTATAACCGCCGATATATGACATTTTCTCTCTTCTATTTCTTTTATTCACTTAGGATCAGTTGGACCACTATGTTATTACTGCTATCTTTTAGGCCCACTATATGTACATATACCCATTAGGCCCATTTTCCTTTAGTGAGAGCCCAGCAATCCTTGATGTATTTTCTCTGTTTTTGCTCAGCTAATATAACTATGAATAAAATGTGTCAAGATTAATTTCCTGTTTTATTTTTGATAATTTAATTTCCTGTTTTATGATTTACGAGAGATATAATTTGTGGAAAAAATCTAGATTTTAATTTTTTAAATATTATTTAAAATAAAGTTCAATCAGGTGAAATGAACTCTACTATGCCTGTGATTTTGATTGCTCATCTCATTACTGCTTTTCAAGAGTTATTGTGGAGGGATTGGATATGTCGGTTTCACATGTTTATCGTGAGAAGAATGAAGTGGTTGATGGTATCTTGTATATAAAGCCAACAAGTCCAATGAATAGTGTTTTTTGGTGTCACAAGCTTCATAAAAAATAATTGGACAGAAATGTCTCTCAAACAAAAAATTTCAAAAGCAACCCAAAATAACGCATCAAATGTGGTAGGGGTATTTTCATCATTTTAACAATGTTTTTTTAATAATTAATTTCTCTTGTACAATTTTTTTTTAAAATTAGCGTGTAATATCGGTTATAAAAAAAAGGTCTTCACGCACATAATAATATGATTAAATTAGTTATTAAATAATTTTTTTTTTAACAAACGATATTATTTATATTAAGAGTTTCTTCTACCATAATCTAAGGTTATTCATTTACTTATAATATTTGATTTTCTTTATGTCAATTCACGCATTAAGACTTATAAGTCGCGTCTAGCACGTCGTAATTCAAAAAATATCTTCTGCACACGTGTCAATATTTGACCCGTTTTATTAACAGTTTTACCCAAAAAAACATAAGAAAAATAAAATAAAACTGAAATTGGGCAAATACAAATCAATTTGTAAATTCCAAGAAAAACCCAAATCCGTAGTGCAATAAAAAAATCAAACCTAAACCCTAGAAATTCAAAAGTAATAACAGACAAAGAAACAGATTACATTGAAAGGTAATGAGAGATAAACAACCAAACCAAACCAAATCAAACCAATCCAAATCACCTAGAAAGGTGGGGGAGCAGCATAACCCAAGAAGGGCCTACCCGACCCGGCCCCGCAGAAAGACCCTGGAACACTCGGGTCACAGATATTCACAGTATCTTTCAGCTTGTGGAATCCGTTCTTGAAGACTCCGAACCCGAATAGTATACCCACCAGAACCACCACCAGAATCAAACAGGTGCACAGCATGCAGACCCTACCCGGACAGCACATCTTTGCCTCTGATTTGGTTTCTCTCTCCCTCTCACTCGAAAACGGGTTACGGCTTGCTTTCTCTCTCTAGAAATTTCAGAACCCAGAAATTGGAATTTGAGATCTCAAAACCTGGGAATTGGGTTTTACTGGGTTTTTTATGAATGTGGGGAATTTTTAGGCTTTTATGCTGCTGCTTCTTCTTCTTCTTCCGAGCGAACTCACCGATTTGGTTTTCTGTCTCTCTCTCTGGAGTGGGTTAGCTTTCTCTCTCTAGAAATTTCAGAACCCAGAAAATGAAATTTGAGATCTTGGAATCCGGAAGGTGGGTTTTGATCGGTTTTTGATATAATGTGGGGGAATTCAATTCGGGTCGTTTTCGGAGATGGAAACGCATTAACGCGACGGGAATTGTTAGCTTATAAGGCAAGCAAATTGCGAAAGGGGGGTTCTTTTGGATTTTGCCCCTTTTAATATTTGGGTGGATAAAGTGGGCAAGGGAAAAGGATCCGTTATTTTCCTTTTCTGCTGCAAGCATGAAAGATGGTTTGCCTTTTTATTGTTTGATGACGTGGAGGGATGTGATTGGGGTAGTGTTTGATGGGAATATTCCCTGATAAGTTATTATTGTTTAAATTTGAAGTTAACATAATTGTTTAAAAGTAAATTATATAGACCACTTAGTACTACAGTTTAGTGATATTATTTTTTACTTGTAAGTGAGCCTTGATTCTCGCAAAGGAGAATCTGATCCACATTAGCTCACTCCCCTACCTCTTAGTTAGATAAAATCGTTTTTAAAAAAAAAAATATTATATGGTAATTTTCATTAAATTTATAGAGATTCGAATTTGAATGTAGCGAGAGCATAATCCTCTAACCAGAGTAGTTGCGAAATAGGTGAAACCAGGCTAGTGCAGTTTTGTTGTATTTAGTTAAATTCATTCTACACATTTAAATTAAATTTTTCATAATTTATTTTGTGTTATTTGTGCCAAATTTAAAATTTAGCAAGTTTTGGGCTCGACTGTCATAGAATCAAGACTACAAAATGTGTTTATATAGCCAATAGGATTCTCAAAAAACGCATTTGTTTTATGACTTGTTTGTAAGTGCCTTTTTAATGGTTGAAATCGTTTATGGCGAAAATAATTTTGGTACCAATTCTTAGCAAAAATGAAAGCAAGTCTTGAAAAAAAATACTTGAAGTGCTTCCTATAAGAAGAGTGCATAACTGATGCTTCTTATAAGAAGTACTTCAAGTGCTCTTGAAACGTGAAAACATTTTTTCTAAAAGTTTTTTTTGTCATTTTAAAAGCACTTTCAAATGAGCCATTAGTCCTTTTAACTTATCATAGAGCTACTAGACCCACCTCATTGTCTTATTTTCCCACCTACATTATAATCCCACCCACCTTAAAAAGTTAAAAAATTAAAATGCTATTTTCCCACCCACTATTACTCCCAAAATAACCTTTAATATATACGTACATATGAAATTATAAAATTGTCTCTTAAAAATAAGACAAATAATATGTAAATGAAAACCACTAAGGTCTGCAAATTCAAATGGAAACAACAGAGGTATCCAAATTCAAAAGAATTCGACAATGACAAATTTAAAAATACGACAGACAAATTCAAATGACCTACACACAAATTATTCTTCTACCTTTTCAATGGAAACATAATTTTCTACCTCTTTCGTAGAAGCGTCATTTTTTACATGTTCAATGAAAAAGTCATCTTCTAAGTCCATTGCTATTTTTTTTACTTTCTCTAAATGAAAGGATATGAAAATATGAGTTAGGGTTTAAGGTAAACAAATTGTCTCCCATGCCCATTTTTTATGTATTTTTATTTTAAATTAAGCAAAACAAGATAATTAATGTCCTTATCAGTCTTTTTGTAAATGGACAAATTTGTAATTAAAAAATTCATTAAAAAGTAGGTGGGAAGATAAGACATTGGGGTGAGAATAACACCACTCATTATTTTTAATTCATTCTGGCGATTCAATGAATTTTATTGTTTAAGAAAATCAATTTTATTGACAAATAGAACTAGTGCCCCACGACCTTTAATGGCCCACTACTAACGGTCACAAGCCCACGTAACCGTGATTTTTGGAGACCATTAAAAAGACACCCCGAGAGAGCTTCTACATTTAAGCCCACAAATCAGGTGGTACAAGCCCAGTTCTTAATTCATAGCACTTGCAGCCCAAAAAATAAACATTTTGTTTTAATTAAAAGTTAAAATTCGTTTTTGCCCTTAACTAAAAAGTAGAAATCCAAAATTCACAGCTACTTGACCACCACGAGATGGCTCAATTGTCACAGAAGAATTTTAAATTCGTATTTCACACGATACATCTTGAGTTCAATTTCTATTACTAGTGAATCACACGATGATCGCCAATAAGAGACTGAAATGTCTTTATAAGTCTTCTTGGCCTCCAAAAAAGTGGACAACTATAGTGAGGCACCAGCTGATCTCGTTTTGCTAAAAATAAAGATCACAGCTACTTGTGTCACATACCATTCTATTGTATGAAAAAATCCACAATCAATGCAATCGTTTGTATACCAAAAAAAAAAACAATCAAAGTCACAAATGCATTTGGAAATTTATGAAAGAATATAACATCGAACATCCGGTTCAAAGATAATTTAAAATGCTTGCTACAAAGAAACAAGTTCTCTGTAGCAAACTATTTTTTGAATTTCTTACTACCTTTTCATCAAAAATAAGAAAAATAAAAAGGCCACAAATACATTATAATTATACCTAGGGTGGCCATGGGTATATCCCAAAAGCTTGAAGCTCCTAAATTCAATTACATTCCACCGTTAAATGATAAGTATATTTAGTTCATGCATTTGTTGTAGCGAATCTTCAACTATAAGAAAGATTTTTAAGTGTTTTGAAAATACGGCTTAAAACACTAAACGACATAATACAATTGATTGTGATTTTTTTTATCTCTAACCAATTATATCATGAGATTTGACGTTCCGGCCGTATTTCTACGCACTGAAAAGTTTCTTCAAAATGTGAGGTATTTGCAAGTCCCCCTTCTTCCACTCCAAGGTCCTTCCCCCCCCTCTCTCTCCCCCTGCTCATCACTCTCTTCAGATCCCACTCTCTCTCTCTCTGCAAATCCCAGATTCCCAATCCCCATCTCTCTCTCTATATATACAATCCATTTCGTCAGGGAATCAAAATCCCATTTATTACATTCACATACAAAACCCACAAACGTATATTTATAGATCTGCTGCTGCTCCTCCCATGGCTTCCACCGGGCCAAATCCGCCGCCACAGCAGCAACCGCAGCCCTTCGACATGCAGAAGTTCTTTAAACCGACAAACCCAGCTGCTCTCACCGCCCAAACGTCAACCCCCGCCAATTCAAACCAAAACCCTAACCCTAATTTGAGTTCCTCCTCGTTCCCAGTCCCGCCCGCTTCTTTCCCTCCTCCGACGGGCCCCTACTCGTACCCGCCCCAAACGGCACCGTTTCACCACCATCAGTTTCAATACCTCCCCCAACCGCAGCAGCCCCACCCCCAAATCCAATACTCTCCGCAGGACCACCACTTGCTCCAGCAGAGGTCTCTCTCGTTCCCCACCCCGCCCCTCCAACCCCCTGGTAATTACAACATTGCCACTCCCACTTCCAACCCCAGCGGCACCGGCAGTGGTAATTCCAATTCGAGCCCCAATTCCGGTGCTCGGATCATGGCGCTTCTTGGTGGTCCGTCAGGAAATCTAGAGCCTGAGTTGCCGACTCCTCCAGGTGTCTCAATGCCGCCCACTCTCCCAATGGGGATTCAACCCACTGGCCCGATTCGAATGCCCAGCAATAAGCTACCGAAAGGCCGGCATTTGGTTGGCAATAACGTGGTTTATGATGTGGACGTTAGGTTGCAGGGTGAGGTTCAGCCACAGCTCGAAGTTACACCCATAACCAAGTATGGTTCGGATCCTCAGCTTGTGCTTGGCCGCCAAATTGCGGTTAATAAGTCGTATATATGCTATGGATTGAAGCAGGGCAACATTCGGGTGTTGAATATACACACTGCATTGAGATCTTTGTTTCGAGCTCATACACAGGTTTCATTCTAATCCTGTATACTAGTTTGTATTCACATCTTAGTGTTTGGATTGGTTATGTGCACTTTTATTTTGTTAAAATGACATTGCATTCTTTGATCGCTATCCGGGTGTTGATGCCTTGTATAGTTTATGAATTCAAATTTAGATTCTTTACTTTCGGATGGCTGCAAAAGTTAGTTTGACTCATGTACTATTACTTATGTAACGAGAAATGGCAGTGGGAGTTAGACGGATAGAGATAGCGCAATCTAGGACCAATGCTTGAAGTACTGAAGTGCAGGAAATATCACTGCTTGACAATTGATATAATTAAATTAGCTTGATTTATTGAACGCCTACTATTATATTCTGTGGCTATCCCTTATTAGATGGGATTTTTGTAAATTGGTGTAAGCTTACAAGTTTTTAGTATCTTATTGATCTAAGTGATGTCTTGTTCTGTCAGAGGGTCACAGACATGGCTTTCTTTGCTGAGGATGTTCACCTTTTGGCTAGGTAGGTGTTTTCCGCTATTCTTAATTATTTTTTGTTCATCTAGTTTGGCTTTCTGTTATTTGACATAAATTTGTGCAGTGTGAGTGTTGAAGGAAGACTCTTTGTATGGAAAATTTCGGAAGGTCCAGATGAAGAAGGTACGCCACAAATCACTGGAAAGGTTGTGATTGCTATTCAAATAGTTGGAGAGGGGGAAGCTGTTCATCCACGAGTTTGTTGGCACTGTCATAAACAAGTAATTCATCTTTCAACTTCTATTTTTCATTGAACAGTTACTGCTCCTCCTTCAGTGAGTACAATCATTTTCTATACTTTTTTTTTTATCTTCTTTTTGGCTTTGAATTGCCTGGATGATATCTCTTACTTATGAGTGTTACGAAAAATAATCTTACAGGAGGTTTTGGTGGTTGGGTTTGGAAAGCGTGTACTAAGAATTGATACTACTAAAGTTGTGAAGGGTGAACCCCCTTCTGCTGATGAGCCTCTCAAATGTCCTGTTGAAAAGCTGATTGATGGAGTCCAGTTTGTCGGTAAACATGATGGAGAAGTGACCGACTTGTCAATGTGCCAATGGATGACCACCCGTCTGGTTTCTGCTTCTATGGATGGAACAGTATGTACCTTTACAGTTTTTGAAGGCTTTGTTTCACGTTACATATTTTCTTGTAGGGCGAAACTTTATTCAGCATTTTCATTTGAAACAAATTTGAGGAAACCTGGTTGCCTGCGCCTTTGTGTGATGGTAAAAAAATCAACTTGGTTAGTTGATTTTTTAGTCATAAGAATTTTGTTCAATGTTTGCGGTCAAATTTATTTTAGACACATTGACTTTCCTTGCATACTTTATACTGTTGGATTTATTTGCTCTATGGAGTTTGGTCTAGGTTTGAGGTAAAATCTTGCATACATTTTGTTTTCCTTGCATGCATTTGACTGTTTGCTTTATGAGTTACGCGGCTTTTGGTCACTGTTTGAGGTCAATTTCACATGCTTTGAATTTTGTTGCAAACTTTTTACTGTTAGCTTTTATGACCTCTAAGGAGTTTGGTCATGATTTAAGGTTTTGGTCTAGGTTGAGGTGAATTTTGTTGCTGCCCTTTTCTATTTCTATTTATTTGTGCTCAAATCTTTAGCTCACCACCTTTTGGCTCATACATATTGACATTGAAAATTTGTCAACAAAATATTTTTCTGAATACAATATGGCTAGTCAAAAAGTGTATCCAGTTTCCTGACAGTGCAAATGTCTCTGAAGAAGGAATTCCTGGTTCCAAAGTGACATTGAGAGGTGTATGATTGTCATTTTCTCAAAAGATACAAAATTACTATTTTGCCCTCCTTGTGTAAGTATTGTGTATCAAAAGTGAGGGCAAAATAGGGGAAAAAGGGGCAAAAGATACAAAATTACTATTTTGCCCTCCTTATGTAAGTATTGTGTATCAAAAGTGAGGGCAAAATAGGAAAAAAAGTGGCAAAAAGTTGACTAGGAAGGTTCTCTTAATAATAGTATAGATTTTTGTATTGACGGGGTAGAGAAATAATCATGGGTTATAACTTATAATTCACAGGCATCTGCTGGCATGCATACTAACACTGTCTTAAGTATTCCTGGTTGTTGTTTTGTAAGAGTATTTGCTGATTCCACACAAAATGTATGTCGTGCAACAGATAAAGATCTGGGAAGATCGCAAAGCTCAACCTCTTTTAGTATTGAGACCCTACGATGGGCAACCTGTTTATTCAGCTACATTTGTGACAGCTCCCCACAGGCCAGATCATATTATACTTATCACAGTGGTAAGTGATTTTTTCATTCTTTGCATGTATTATAAGGGTTCTAGTTGTGTTTCTGCTACCTAATTTAAGTATAAGAATGTTCTAATTTGTTTCGTACTTGTATAAATCGGTTTTATAGGGGCCACTAAATCGGGAAGTGAAGATCTGGTCCTCGGCGAGTGAAGAAGGCTGGCTGCTTCCCAGTGATGCTGAATCATGGAAATGTACCCAGACATTAGAGTTGAAGAGTTCTTCTGAACCCCGAGTCGAGGAGGCATTCTTTAATCAAGTCATAGCATTGTCACAAGCTGGCCTTCTCTTACTTGCAAATGCTAAGAAGAATGCTATATATGCTGTACACTTAGAATTTGGTCCTGATCCAGCAGCAACGCGCATGGATTACATTGCAGAATTTACCGTTACCATGCCTATTTTAAGTTTTACTGGGACAAGTATATCTCCTCATGGTGAACAGATTGTTCAGGTTTATTGTGTACAGACTCTGGCCATTCAGCAGTATGCTTTGGAATTATCAAAGTGCTTGCCTCCACCACTGGATAATGTTGGATTAGAAAAGTCAGATTCCAATATCTCACGCGATGCAATTGGGGCTGAAGTATATGCTTTGGATCTATCTGGAAGTAAACCCACAGAGGTGTTGCTAGCCAATTCATCACGTAGACCAGCCGTACATGAAAGCAGTTCTGAGGGTGCAGCTGCCATGAGGTATCCTGTAAGCTCTAATTCTGTTGAGGCAATCACTTCAAAAGATATTACCACTTCAAGTACAGAATCAAGACCTGTTTCATTGGCATCGGCATCTAGTGATTCTGCTGTTGTATTTGTTGCATCACCATCTATTCCCTTGAGTCCTAGGTTGTCCAGGAAACTTTCTGGTATAAGAAGTCCAGCAGATAGATCTGAGCCGGGTCGCACACTTAATGACCATGTTGGAGACCAACAAGTCAATGATTACTCTATTGACAGGCAAATGATCACTCCTCGTTCAAACGTGTCAGATGTGCCTGCAGTGGATGATGACTCAAGGAATGATGAGCCTAAAGTTGGACAAGATGATTTATCTAGTGTGCTCAATCCTCCTATCATGTTCAAACATCCAACCCATCTAATAACTCCCTCTGAGATTTTAATGGCTGCTTCATCTTCTGAAGGAGCTAATACTGTTGACTGCAAGAGTGAGGGGGAGGGAAATATCCCAGATGTTCTTGTTAACAGTGATGTAGGTAATTCTGAGGTGGAGGTTAAAGTAGTGGGTGAAACTAGATCTACTCAAATTGATGAGTTTGTCTGTCAAGGAGAACCACAAAATGCTGTCTCAGAAAATAAGGAAAAATACTTTTGCTCCCAGGCATCAGATCTTGGAATTGAAATGGCCCGAGAATGCTGTGTGATACCAGCAGAAACTTATGTTACGGATGAAGCTCGGCAAGTTGATGGTGGCAGTGTGACAGAACCACCAGGCCAATCCCATGCTGGAGACGAAGACCAGGACTCTGCAAAAGATGTTTCTGGGTCATCTACCTCCCCAACAGTTTTGCAATCGCAGACATCAAATACAAAAGTGAAAAAACAGAAGTGGAAAAATTCTCAAGCATCAGGTTCATCATTACCATCAGCAAGTATGACCAATTCCATAGATTCCACCAATGAACATGGTGGGAGTTCAAGCCTACCCTCTGCAGAAGCTGCATACCTGCAAATTATGGCCATGCAGGATACGGTTAATCAGGTAACTGCTAATTCCCATACATTAATGTTTGACATACGAATTATTCTCCACATGACAACTGAAAATTTTCTTTTATTGTTGAAGACTACTGATCCTGTATTGACAAAATAATGCTACTGCCTCTGTTAATCTTTGTCTCTTTCACTTTGGAACATGTCCTATGTCAGATGGATTTTCTTGTCCTTTTTGAGATGTTTTTTTTTTGTTGGGAAAAGTGAGAAAGTTGTGTGGTTGATGTGTGGACTGGAACTGTATTTATTTCTACCAGCCTTTTCTTAACTTCTTCTACTTTTCTGTTTGTGCAGCTACTGACCATGCAGAAAGAAATGCAAAAGCAGATAACAATGATGGTCGCAGCCCCCGTTACAAAGGAAGGGAGGAGATTGGAAGCTGCTCTTGGTAAAAGTATGGAGAAGGCTTTAAAGGCCAATAATGATGCTCTATGGGCTCGTTTTCAAGAAGAGAATGCAAAGAATGAGAAGTTATTGCGAGACCGTAATCAGCAAATAACCAGTTTGATAAATAACTTAATGAACAAGGACTTTCCAGTCATGTTGGAGAAAGTGGTGAAGAAGGAATCATCTGTGATTGGACCAGCTGTTGTTCGTGCTATAACTCCAGCTATTGAGAAGGCAATACCTTTGGCTATTTCTGATTCCTTCCAGGTTGGAACTTTGGATGATTTGACCCCTTCTTAATAAATCTGGCCTAGAATTCTATATGATCTGGTATCTTTTATAATAAAGTTCCCTTGTAGTTATCTAATTTACTCTTGTGCTGCAGAGAGGAGTGGGTGACAAGGCTGTTAACCAATTGGAGAAATCTGTTAACTCAAAACTTGAAGCTACTGTTTCCAGGCAAATTCAGGCGCAGTTTCAAACTTCTGGCAAACAAGCTCTACAGGTGTGTATTTGCCCATGTCAGCTTAATTTTCTTGTATTTGTAATCTGAATATGTAACATTTTACCTTGGTTTTGACAATTTGTTTACTGATAATATGATCTTTGCCCACAGGATGCTCTTAAGTCTAGTATGGAAGCTTCAGTGGTACCTGCCTTTGAGAAGTCATGTAAGGCCATGTTTGAGCAAGTAGATGCTACGTTCCAGAAAGGAATGGTTGAACACACAACTGTGGCCCAGCAGCATTTTGACTCCACACATTCGCCATTGGCACTGGCTCTAAGGGTGCGTATGCTTATACCAAGTTCAATCTTTTTCTTTTTAATAATTTTTTGTTGGCAAACTTCCCATCTCTTATATTTGAATGGTTATGATCCTTAGGGTCTTAGAATATATTCAGAAAACAAGTGAAATATCATGTGCTTCTTATGAAATACAGTGAGCCAAATATGATGTTTGCACGATGATCTTGTTTGATTTTTATGTTTAACTGAATGTAAGCTGATATATCAGCTTTGGTGTGTGTGGGCTCGTACCAATTTCCGTCTATGATTAAAATTTTACGAACTACGGTTCTCCTTGCATGAGACTAGCATCCAACGTTTTGATTCTTTCCCTATTATTGTACAAGGTAAATATCATTAGAGACAAGGATATGAGAGTTTGGTATGACTGAAGAGATGATTCTGTATTGTAAGAGACAATTGTTTTCTTTCGAGTAAACCCTGATATCTTTTGGGAATGAAGTATTTTTGGTTTTCCTTTGCTTTAGCTATTCCTTCTGGTATCCACTGCATGGCTTAATATGGTTTGTATTTTCATATGTTTCTGTAGTTGATTTTATATTTTGATGATATTTGCAGGAAGCTATGAATTCTGCATCATCGGTGACTCAAACCTTAAGCGGAGAAGTGGCTGAGGGTCAACGTAAGCTCATAGCTCTTGCAGCTGCACGAGGAAACTCAAGCGCAGTAAATCCTCTGGTCACACAACTCACTAATGGACCTTTGGGTGGTCTCCATGAGAAGGTTTGTTGGATCTTAAATATGTGGAATCTGTGGATGTGCAACTCCAAATGTTCAATTTTATTGAACGAGGGTTGGTTGGCTGGCTATTTTAATCATGAAAAGCAATCTATTTTTGCATGATAGGTTGAGGTACCTTTGGATCCAAAGAATGAGCTATCAAGGCTGGTATCTGAACGCAAGTACGAGGAGGCTTTCATGGCAGCTCTGCAAAGAAGTGATGTTTCCATCGTATCGTGGTTATGCCATCAGGTATGCTTTAGATGATATCCGTGGTGGTTATCAGAGATTCTGAGCTTGCAAAAGATTATCAGCCTGACACATTCTTACGATTTTTTCTTTCTTTTCCAGGTTGATCTACGGGGGATATTGCTGTTGAATCCTGTTCCTCTGAGCCAAGGTGTGCTTCTTTCTCTTTTGCAACAGCTGGCCTGTGATATCAGCAATGATACACCCAGAAAAGTTGCGTGGATGACGGATGTGGCGGGCGCCACAAACCCGGCTAACCAAATGATTGCGATGCACGGTCGGCCCATATTTGAGCAAGTTTATAGCATACTGCACCATCAACATGCCTTGCCTGCGATCAACAGTGCCGAACACACTAGCATCCGACTTCTCATGCATGTCATCAACTCCATTATGATGGCCTGTAAATGATCATACATCGTTCGAAAAGCCTACCATTGTGCAAGAAACAATTGTTATATGGACATTTTGTACAAAAATCTGCTGTGATCCCTTATGAAAAAAAGTTACCGAACTGTAAAGTCAGTTTTCGGCGAATTGGATGCGTCGGCTTAGGCGTTTCGGTTTCTTTGCTTCGAGCTACTGTATTCATCGTCTTTTTTGTTTAGCTTTCTTTTACTTGTCATAGCTCCATGTAAACCTGCAATTTTGTGTATTCTTCACACTTGTGAATGCATCTGTGTTTTGATTTTTGTTTAAATTTTAGCTGTTGTTATCTTTCGAGGCTAGAGGGTCGATGTGGTTTGTTGCATATTTTCTTAAAGATTGTGGGAGGGAATTATGTCAATTTTGCTGTTTAGCAACTAAAGAATAAACCTCCCATCCGGTTAGAAATTGCGATTATGAGACAGAGGTTCAGGGTAAAAGGGGCAGAGGAAGATCTCGAAATACTTGGAAAAAGACTTTAGAGCAAGTCCACCCCTAAGGACTTTGCGCCAGCACTCAGCGCATTTATCCACTCAAGTGAACAGTAATAGACTTGAGTGAACAGTAATAGGCCAAGGCATCTCCACCCCTAAAAATGCGCTGGCACCCAGCGCATTTATTTGGTGTGTTTTTTTTTTTTTAAAGTTTATTTCGGATAAGATTTTTAACCAATTTCGGATAAAATTTTAAATAAACTTAAAAAAATACACACTAAAATAAAATTACATACTCATCAAATAAACACACTAAATAAATGTGGTGTAAGGTGGAAGATGAGGGTTAGGTATTTATAAAAAAAATAAATAACTTTTTTAAAATTTTACAGTATTTTTTTTATATTTTTTAATTAATTTTAATGTAGTTTATTAATCTGGACCGTTGGATTTGAAAAATATTCAAATCCAATTAGGGCTGGGTTCGATTTGAATCGGTTCGGTTTTTTGCCAAAACCGAAACCGAACCGAAATTTCGGTTCGGTTCAGTTCGGTCCATTTTTTTTCGGTTTTTTTTCGGTTCGGTTTTTTTCGGTTTCGGTTTTTTTTCGGTTCGGTTTCGGTCCGGTTCGGTTTTTTTCATTATTATTATTATTATTATTATTATTATTATTATTTTAAGATATGGATATTGGTAAACTAGCCCAAAAGAGCACCTGCCAAACTGCCCAATAGATCCAACAAACAATACAGGCCCAAGCCATAAAATACAACAAAAGAAAACCTAGGGTTCTACTGCATCACCCGCCGCCAAGCATCCACAAACCCTCGCCACCAACCAACCGACGCCTCGCCGATTGTAACATCCGGCCACGAGCACCTGTCCGAACACAGCCAAACAGACGAGATCCAAGGGTTTAATAAAGAGTATAGATCCAAAGACCAAAGATCTCTACCATAAATTCACGAACAACATCAGCCAATTTTTCTTCAAAAATTCACAAAGCATAGTCAACAAATAAATTCACACAGCATAGTCAACAAACCAAAGAAATAAAAACTATTAATCAATACACAAAAAAAACTACCATTTTCAGCACTCAAAGAATTAAACAAGAAACAGAAAAAAAAAAAAGAAAAAAAAAAGAGAAATTGAATACTTACTGTTAAAGAAATCCGGAGGAACAAAGATGGATGTCTGGACCGTGCGACCTCCATATGAATCCCAGATTAAAAAACTATTTGACTTGTATTTGAAAAGAAGAGATCGAAAGTTTATGGAGAAAGCAAGGAATATTAGACGAGGAGCAGAGAGAGAGGAAGAGAGGAAGAGAGGAAGAGAGGAAGGAGAGTTGAAGTGAGGAAGAGAAGAAGGAATGAAAGATTGAATGAGGAAGCAGAGAGGAAGAGCTGCGGATGGGAGAGAGGGAGAGAGAGAGTGAATGTTTGAGAATGAAAAGGTAAAGGGGGTGACGGCTGCTACTAGGGTTTGTAAGCTTTATAAATTTTATAAAACATTAAAGATTAGAATACCTATAAATATTATGCTGGTACAATCATAGCAATACAAACCCTACAGTCAAGTTGGCTTGAATGAGCTATCCCCAACCTGGACGGAAGGGGTCGAACCTTCATTCCAGCAGGTTTTGAATATTTATCTTTTATTTTCATATTTCGGTTCGGTTCAGTCCGGTCCGGTTTTCATACCTAAAAAACCGAAACCGAACCAACCAATTTCGGTTCGGTTCGGTTCATCAGATTCGGTTCAGTTTTTTTTTCGGTTCGGTTTTTTTCGGTCTCGGTTCGGTTCGGTTGTCGGTTTTTTTCGGTTTTCGGTTTTTCCAACCCACCCCTAAATCCAATAGCCCAGGATTGGCCACATGGCCATGCGCCAGCAAATGGCCCAGCTTCTTGGTCAGCATGTTTTGTGCTGGCCTAGAGACCAGCATGAGCTGGGTGCCAGGCTGTTGCGTGGGCTAGAGGACATGGACAGGGTGCTGGGCTGCTATTTGGATTGAGTGCTAGGCAAAGTCCACTCCGGTGGACTTGCTCTTAAGAAAGAACATAGAGTACTTGGAGTTAATGAGACACTTGGTGCGAAATTGAGGCAGTGACGTTTTATAATTCATTTAACTGATTTCACTTAGCAGGATAAGATTGTTGTATGAAAGGACAATAATTTCTAGACAAGGTCCCCAATATAGTGTGGTGAAAGTCAATAAAGATGACCATTACTATCATGCTTTAGGAAGTGAGGTGATATATTGTTGTACCAATACAACTTACAACTAAAATACGCTTTATTCGTTTTTATTCGTTCCTATGCTACCTCGCGTGGTGGTTCGTTTTTGTGGAATGCTTATGGTCTTGAATTTCTTTTTAATATTCTTGTTGAAAATGTAAACGTTTATATTAGAATTTAATAAAATTTATCCTTTGACAAAAAAAAAAAAAAAAAAAAAATTCTCTTTTAAATTTACTAAAATGTGTGTACAAGGCAAATAAAATGCTTATACTCAAATAATTTATGGGGCTCAATTATCTACAAAGAAAAATAATTTTGTACACTGTTTATTTTTGTTCATTGGTTCTTCTTTACTTATATTTGATTCAAAAATTGGTGTATGGACGACATTCCTCATTTACAAATTACTGCATTCGTTAAACTTGTAGTTAAATTGCCAAACCATTTGTTTTCTATACAAGTAATAGTTGAGAGACGAGAATTATACCTACAACCTTGAATGCAAAAGTAAATGTTTTTAATTACTCGAACTACAATCCTTTGCAACCAAATCGTGAAATTTAAAACTCTGTCAAATGATTCACGCTAATCGTTTTCTTGGCCAATAAACGTAATATAAACTACGTATTAGTAGAATTATAATATCAACCCAAAAATTAAAAAAAAAGGTTATTACTTTTATACATAACCGAAATAAAATACTAAAAACGAAAAAAATGTGAGCATTAAAATAATTTTGTGCAAATAACTTTTTTTTCTAATCTCACAATCACATCACTCTATCAATTCCCTAAACTCTCTCTCTCCATCTTTATCTTCGCATTTGCACGCCACGTCAACTTTTCTTTCCACTTTTTCAAACTTCCCCAATTCACTAGTTTCTTAAACATAATTTGACATTAATTAAAATCTAAATCCTTTTAAAACTAAATCACATATAGTGCGTACTGCTCAAGCTTCAATTGGTATTTTTTCACGAAAAACAAATATGAGATAACAAATTCAATCTTTCACTACCATAAATTATACGTAAATTAAAAAAAAAAAAAAAATTTAAAATTGACACAAACAAATAAATAAATAATTAGAGATAATAATTTCCGTTCAAAATTCATTCACTTCGTACGCCCGTCGTCATAAAAGCATTTACAAAAAATTTCCCTACATCTAATTTTTTTCTATTTACACGTCAGATTCTAACAATTTCTTTTCTTTCTCAAGAAAGGCAAAAAAAAATATTAAACACAACGAAAGGCCGTGTCTGCTGAGTCAGCGGCGAGTCTGGTGGGCCGGATCCTATTAGCTTTACGTGTCTTTACCAGCACTGGTCCGTTTCCCACCTCCGGGTCGAGTAAAACCCGTCGGTTCGAAACCCAACCGAGCTTCTCCGCCGATTAAAATTAATGCGAGCAGCGCCCAACGACGTGTCATACACTTCCCGGGCCGCCGGATCGGACAGCGTGGCGTAGGCGTTGTGAATCTGGATGAAATCCCGGCCGTCGGACTCCGACCGCGACGCGTCCGGGTGGTATTGCTTGGCCAAGCTCCGGTACGCCGACTTGATCTCCGTTGGCGACGCGTTGGCTGTGACTCGGAGGACCTCGTAGAGACTCGCCGCGGAGGCACCGTGCCGCGGCTTGGCCTCGGTGAACGCCTGGGCGGAAGAGGCCTTGATCTGGAAACTGCGCCGCTGGGGCAGGGGCATTTTTGGAAGGGGGCTTGCGGCCGAGGGGAAGAGGGGTGTAGACATTGGGGATTTTGGCGATCCTGCGGAGGGCAATTTGGGAATCGGAAGAGATTTTGGGGAGGACGAGGAGGACGAGGAGGATGGTGTGAATACTATATTTGTAAGGGGTATAAATATCTGTGTGTGGGTGTTGTGGGTTAAGGGGGCGCTGACATGGCACTTGTTCCAGCGGCATACAGTTTATATTTGTTGCTTCTAGAAGGAGTCCGGATCCTCGCTGGATCCCTTTTGTGTGGATTTCGAGAATTCGTGAATCGTGTTCGTTCATCTTACATCGTGCGGTTATAAATCATTTTAAATATTTTTATTTAAAAATAAACATGAATAGTAATTGACAAAAACTAACCGTACGATGTACGATAAACGGACACAATTCACGAATTCCTATGATCCTCACCAAAAGGATCCGGAGGGAATCCTGTTGGTTCTAGAAGCACCAAGATTTCCCCAATTTACATCGTTTTAGTTAATAGTAAATTGATTTTTGTTTTTAACTATTTTTACTCTGACTTGCCATGATAGTAGAGTACGGTATAGGGGTGTTCTTTCATTTATAAATACGATTGTGCTATTCACACATTTTATTTTACTTTTAACACATTTTTTGTTAATTTCTGTTTGTTGATCTTCTTCAATTCACCTGATCCGACGGCGGAAAATTAGAGGGGTGTATGAGAAGTAAAAAAAAGTGTGTAAATATCACATCCCTATAAATAACTGGTTTCAAATTGGATTATTATTTATATGGAGTTTAATACTTTGGCATTGTCGAATAAACAATCTTCGTGGTGATAAGGTGATCAGAATATAGCTCTCATGATAAAAAAAAAAGGATTTAAATTAAATCCTAGTGATGCGTTAGCAAATTTAGTTCAAAAGTGAATTTTTTTCGTTTGTTGTTCATTAAATATAGGGATAAAAATATACTTGGAGGTGTGCACCTTCTTCTCATCCATGAAGATCAATTCAATACATGTAAGAACTCATCAAACACATGATTCTTGAACGCCAATATCCATATTATAAAACTGCAATTCACCAACATATTCGTCACATAATTCTTCTTCAAAATTACAATTTTGACAAAAGTAAAAAGGAGGTACGTTTATATTAATAATGTAATGGTTGTAGATATTTTTCTGAGGGTTTAATGATGAAGATGGTAAAGTCAAGTGACTGTAATTTGTAGGGTATGCCTTGTATTTAGGCAGGACATTTCAAGTCACAAAAAGACATCAAGTTTTCTGCACACTCTGCTCGACGGTGTGGTCCTAGACTATAGCAAACAGAGCAAACTCTTCTCTCTTACGTGCCCTAGTTTGTAGAAGGCCAACAAAGGAAGAACCCCCACAATTTTGACTCCCCAAATTCAAGAACCCCTTGGACCAAGATCAAGCTTCAAGAAAATGACCACTCACCTTAATAGCATGGTCCTTTCCCCTTTTTATTTTATTTTATTTTATCTTATATATAATGTTTGTGGTTAGAATTTTATAATTCAGCTGGTTTGGAATGTTTACTTTTTAAACACGAGGTTATAGGTTATATTTGTATTACAAAATTTATAATTAGGTTGATTAAGAATATTTGTCTATAAAATTGAGTTATAGATTTGATCCGCTCTCTCCACTAGGTCTAGTAATCTTTTGCACAACTCGTTATCCCGACATGAAACGACACAAGATTAATATGTTTCACATCAACTTGTTAACGATTCGGATCATTATTGGGTCACCAATTAAAACTCGATAAGACATCGTTTGCCAGATCTAGACATTAGACATGTCAATTTCTTGCATGACCTCTTAACTCAACACAATATTTTAACGAATCGAGTCGTTATTGAGTCACCTGTTAAAGAACTTGTTAAGAACCCATTAAGATAATAAAGTTGACACGATATAATTTGTTAAGATAACAAATATAACACGAAAACGATACCAACATGACAAACATATCCTATTTCCCAACCCTACTCTCCACTATTGTCGGTTGTATAAAACAAGTTTTCTTTGTTCTTCTCCTTTTGTTGGCTTATATAATGCAAGCATAGGAAGCGTGGTCCTGCAGAATAGACAAGTGAAATGAGTCCTCTTTCTACCAATACAGACGTAGTTCAGAGGGTTCGCCACGTAAAGGAGGGTTTCTACAAACCCTTGTCTTGCTCGCTAAATTGTACTCACTACGGCCTTTACACTCGTAAATCGTAATCCACACTGACAAAGGCATAAATTTATCTTTGTTGTTGTTTTTTTCTTTTTTTGGAAACAATTTATCTTTGTTGTTTTGATTGGATAAATAGTTGGCGCTAGGGCATACCACCCATCTAGAATCCTTTCTTTTCTCCCAAAAAAAAAAATGGAGGTAGTAAGAGAAGGAAAATGAAAATAATTAGATAGTAGTGGAAGGCTTCTCCTTACTCAAATGTACGATTAGATCAAACATTAACTTTTTATTAATAACAGGCGATATTAATATTTTGAGTTAGAAGGGGGATAGAG